ATATATATATATATATATATATACAGATATACACAAACACATATTTATGTTTACTTAAGAAAGTCCCCCGGTGGTACAGCAGCAAGTCTTCAGATTTGCAATGGTACAATCAGGGGTTACCTTCCCCTCAGTGAATGCAGCAGATAGCTCAATGTGGCTTTGCTAAAAAAAAACACACACACATAATAAAGAAAACACTTTTATTAATATGGAGTAAATAACATTGTTTTTTATATGAAAGTTTCATGCTTCCTGATGAAACAGTTTACATTCTTTTATAATTAGTGGTACCAAACCTGAGAGAAGTAGGGCAAGCAAAATGCTTAACTATAAGAACTTGCAGTGTAAATATCATGCATTCTTATCATTAAGCCACCGCCCATTTTAATTTGGACATTCCAATTCCACATTGACCTAACAGGCGCTAACCAGGCTGGAGATTGTCTAAAAGATGCTTCATTATATAGTTTTGGGTGGAAAGGTTTTTTTCATTCCAATGAGAATTTCTCACCACCAGATCTCAGATTTTCCCATGTGGAATAAACACCAGATGCCAACAGGATTTGTGGAAATCAGACTAAATAAAAAATGTAGAGTGGGCAGAAGGTGAAGTAGAAAAAGTCTTTCAGCACATACTTAAAGACCATGGTGAACAGTCACTTATCATCATAGCCACAGGTGGTTCCTACATCAAAGATAATGAGAAAGCTGGTTTGGAATTCATGGTATCCTGGAACAACATTTTGCATAAGGCTAGTGAAACATCCAAGCTTCCCATAAGCAGCACAAGGATGGAGTTTGAAGCCATAACACAAGCTCTTCTTTGGATCGCTAAAAGAGACAAACCACAAATAAACAATGCCAGCAACATAATATTTGTGACTGACTCACAGGAAATACTGAGTAAAGTTTAGAGTGGTTGGTCCCCAGATGTGGAAAGCAAAGCAACTACAAGGTAAGACCATCACCTAGATCTATGTTCCAGTAAAATTCTACCTCCTGCAAGGCAGCCAGTCTCCATAAGAGGATCAGTGCTTGTCACCTAGTACTCAACTCAACTCAAATTAGAGAATTAGGCTCAAGGAAATGCTAACAAACTGAAGAAACATTAACATATAGAATAGCTTGATTTGTAACTGCTTATATCTGGTCATTGTTTAAAGTGACACATCCATTAACATTTGCACCAGCTGTGAACTGGAAGAATATTTTTAACTCAACACTGGAGTATGGTGAACATAGCTGATGGTTTTTAAGAGTACATTATTGAGCTGAAAAATAATCAGCATATTAGTAAAAGTTACGAAAATATTGCAATGATGAAAAGTTTTCCTTCACTTGTCTTGAATAATTATAAAATTGTGGTAATAATGGGAAGTAGAGAATGTTATTTCAAGTGCAAAACTTATAAATATAACAAAGAATGTCTTTGGAAGTTTAATGAAATACATGTTTTGTTCTTTTGTGAATCCTTGCTCTGTTTCCATAGTGCTCATGTACATTTTCTTGAGTTGACTACCTGTGTAAAGTTAATGACTGCATACTCCTGGGCTATTGAAATAAATACTACTTTTAAATTATCATAATTCATATATATTTTCAGTGTCTTATGAAAGTTGTACTGGTGCTGTTAATTTTGACTGTCTCTGATATGCTGTTTTTTTTTAACCTTCACAAAGGGAGGGGATACTATTGGCATATGTAAATGATGGTCCAATATATTACTTTCAAAAAATCAGAAGATAAAAGCTCTCCAAATTATGATGAGTTCAAAAATGAGAGAAAAGGGTAAATACTTTTAAGTATTTTTATATTAATAACTGTAAGTTCAAAATATTAAACCCAACTTCAGTTTGTTTTCAGAAGGTATTTTCAAAAATATAGAAGTTATTTAGATGAAAATACACACATCAGTCTAACAGAACTAAATTATTTTTGTTCAACTAAAAGTGTTGCTCTGTTAATCAATTTTTGAGCTTCTTATTAAAGATAAAAAATGTCTCCAATATACAAACTATACTTAAAAAAAAGCTTACAGATGTCCTAGTTTTCTGTAATTTTTGACGAGCAGCAAACCCACACCTTTGGTTGTTACCAAAGTAGAGTAGAAATTTCCTTAGAAAATCCCAGTAGTTGATTTCATCTTTGTTATGTATTTCAAACTTAGAGGTAAGTAACTCATTCAAATCCTTGTCATTAAGAGGTATACCAGCTTTCTGCAGAATACCTAAAACAGAAAATTGCAAGATCCTATTTTATATATGCTGCTTTAATTCTACCACAAAAACAACAACTTTCATGTGAGTATTGTAGTTACTATTGTAAAACAGTGTCATAACATTTCTTTAGGTTTGTAACCATCTTTATAAGACCAATGCATAATAAGCTCATACATGTAGGCATGATGTCACGTGTGATATAGCGTATTAGTGACAAATACTGATTAGGTTAGTTTTCTTGAATGTTTGGAATTTTAAGTACAAAACTAATAAATGAGGTTTTTTTCACAACTGTATAGAATTCAATATTTTCTGAAATAAAAAAAATTCAAACAGGTACTTAAGTATGAAATACTGTAAACCTTTTCTTGAGTCATTCCTGATTTGTGAACAACCATGTCCTTGATTCATTGCATTACATGTGTCACCTCACCAAAAATTCTCCACTTTCCCTGCCACAAGTGCCGCATAAACCATACTTTTCCAGTCATGATGAGAATGTATATTCTTCCTGGGGAGATGGGTAGAAATGTATCACAGAGATAAGTACCTATCTGAAATTCATTTTAATTCTGAAGATGTAAAATTCAAATCAAGTAGACTTACCTCTGAAATACTGTAAGCCAGAATACTTACACTGAGATTGAGAAAGGAAATGGAGAGAATCATAATAAAAGACAACCATCATGATAAAAAACAACCAGATTACTAGATGGTTAGCTCAAGGAAAGGAAAGGTAACATACTATAACAACCTGGAGTGCTGTGATCAAGCATAGCTTAAACAGTATCCTGAGCCAGAGCTATAAGCATTGAATAGAGAGGTGACCAGTCTCTAACAAAACTGGACCTAAAATTGGACACACAGAGGAAAAAGAATTATTTACAGTAGAGCACCTCTCCACCCTAGATGCCCTTTATTTCAAATATAAAAAGGCATTATCTAGTAAGGACATACTTAGGCTGCAGTGCACATTTTTAGGCTGTGGGTGGTAGCTAAACAGGTAACAAGGGTTGTCCTGTCCCTGTTAGTGGAAAATTATTAGTGGAGAAAGCCAATAATTAAGTAGAGAATGAATTTACTTCTGAGGCTAAATTATCCTTCATCTTAAACTTGCACCCAGGCAGGCACCAAGGATAATCAAAAAGAACTAGATGGTCCCAAGGATGACTTCAACAGATTGAGGATAGTGCAATGGGAACACAATAGCAGGAAGTAAGAAAAAAGAACAAAATGTATTTCTGTGGTGTACCGTATTCTGGTTGGAGCCACATGACATCTATTGGAGAATGGTCACCACATCCTTGATGTCTCAAAATACTATACAAGGATGTGCATGTGCCATCTGATGGTATCCGCTGTTCATTTCCAGAAGATATCACCCTCTCATGAGCCACCAGTACAAAGAGTGAAATAGTGTTTAAGACAATAAAAGAAGTAAATGGAAACATTGAAGAGTCCCAACTAGACAGGTCTACTTAAATAGAGAGTCATGTTACAAATGAGAGACCATGACAGTTTAGTTAAGATGTGTAAGTGAACTTATTTGTTAGGAATTATACCAAGCTTTGAGAATCACCACTGGAGGCAAATGGAATATCAAAGCTGAAGACACAATGATGTGATGTGCATAAAAGTTTAAAAATGTATTTGAATTCATCAATTCATTTACATACAACCCTTCAAAATATTCTCCAAAAGGTACTGTAAATGGGATGCCAAAGACATTGCCAAATGTCGCATTTAGTAAGTTTACTTACAAGATAATCAGGTATATCATGGTACACAAGATCAATTGCAACAGGGCCCAGCATGGCCAGGTGGTTAGGGCGCTCGACTCGCAATCTGTTGGTTGCAGGTTTGAATCCCCATCACACCAAATATGCTCACCCTATCAGCCATGGGGGCATTATAATGTGATGGTCAATCACACTATTCGTTTGATTTACCCATTTTAAAATGTTCCTTCCATCTCTACAATGAACTTCGGAGTCTAAAATAACGTATGCCTATGTAGTATAGACTTTGATAGACATGATGTAATTTTTATAACATGCAATTTTATTATTTTATTGAGATATAAACCAGAAAGTCCAACATACTTGTCACTCTCTCCTATCACAAACACTTTTCACCAAATGTCAATAACTCTCTCCAACGTTTGCTCCTCGATTATTTATAACCAATGAAGGAATATATTTATCACTTAATGAATTTCTTTATAAGGGTAAATTTGCTCTTGATGTTATACGAGCTATTTGTTCACCAAATTTCTTCAGACTGTTGATGAGAATACACCACCCAGAGAGAGAAAGTGTTTTAACACGTCCCTCTGGAGCGGGCCGGCATGGCCAGATGGTTAGGGCGTTCGACTCGTAATCTGCAAGTCGCGAGTTTGATTCCCCATCACACCAGACATGCTTGCCCTTTCAGCCGTGGGGGCATTATAATGTGATGGTCAATTCCACTATTTGTTGGTAAAAGAGTAACCCAAGAGTTGGTGGTGGGTGGTGATGGCTTGCTGCCTTCCCTCTAGTCTTACACTGCTAAATTAGGGACAGCTAGCACAGATAGCCCTCGTGTAGCTTTGTACGAAATTCATAAAAAACAAACTACTGCAAGAGCCAATTTCTTAATGTTACTGGAGCAAGATCTAAGGAGCATGGTTCATCATAAGGTATAAATAATCTGTTCTACAACCCTTTAAATGATTTGGTGCATGTGAGATAAAATAAACAGTACTGAAAGGATGTAAAGAGCATACTTCTGCACAAGAATCCTGGTCAATCATGGTAGGTAACCCAGTAGGTGAGAAAATGTGGTTACCTTCCCATGTCTTAGGTAGTAAAACCTTCCAGGAAAATGAGGCACATGATGCATCAAGGGCAAAATATCTGAAAGATTTTACCTGAGGCAAGCAAAAGTAAGAAGGAAATTATGAGAGAAAGATGATATAGTGAACACATAACTAGGGTTAAAAGGAGAAGTTAAGAAACACAAGACTAAGCTAAATCTCACTTCAGAGGATGTGATGGAAGTTGGGGACACTGTAGACAAAAATACTGGAATTGATCTATGAACAATGGGACAAAAGAAATTCCTATGGCATCAAAAGATGGCAGACAAGGCAGCTCTGTAACTTGTTATAGAGTAAGCTGGTAAACCATGATCATGAAACAAGTACATGAAAAAGGAAACAGTTTGTTAAGGTTGTAGACAAAATATAGAATTTTGAATGTATCATCTGCAAAAGATAATCTATCAAGGCTGACAGACAGCAGGGAATGAACACTGGCAAGAAAGAGCTAACATTTAAGCCACCCGCAAAGAAAATCCAGCTTCTCTGTCAAAAGAGTGAATGACAGTTGGCTTTGAAGTTGTAAACATTGAACATCAATGTGAAAACTTTATAAGAGAAAGATGACATAACAAGAGAAATAATGGTTGGATCAGTCAAAGTGGAGTGATGAGAAGAATCTGATACTTCAAGAAACTGACCTTGACCTGAGAAACATAGCCAATTGAGTGTTTGGTTGAGATTGAGTGGATGATAGAACAAGAATAAAGCAACTACTAACATAAAATTGGAAACTGAAATTGAGTGAACAGAGTATTTAGTAGAAAATGTATGGAGCTGAAACCATACCAAATAGTACGATAGTTAACTTATAAACCATTGCTTGACGACAAAAACAGAAAATGGCATAATGATCTACATATGAATTGAATAAGAAGATAACCATTCTGAATATCTACCTCTGTAGTTAAATGCCCATGCCAAAGAAACCTTTATAACATTCTTGTATTTTATATTTTGAAATAACGAATATCCAAGATATGATTTAGATAAAACCGATCTATCATAGATCTCCAAACTACTGATCTCTTTGGAAGTAAATGAAGATGGATGTAAAACCCCAGAAAAATGTATCAAATTTAAAATAATTAGATGAACACGAGTAGCTGATAGCCAATAACTCTGTCAAAGAAGAAAGTTTCAGGATGAAAGAAATCAGAGCATGCATGGAAGAAAATATGAAGACAAGAAAGAAGATCATGTGAAAGATCTTCCATACAAAGAATGATCTGGGGATTCCGATTGTGTGAGTAAAAATGTGTTGTAGAAGAAAACTCTGCTAATAAAAAGCCACCCTAATGACTAATGAAAAGAACAAGAAAAATTTTAAATTATGTTGATTCCTGAAAATATCAGCAATATCCAAAATGTCATGAGAAGGCAGGAGATCCAAAGATCCAAAAGTAGAATTATTGAACAAAACACTAGTATCCTCAGGCATAACAGAAACTGGTTAAAGATTTAAAATAGAAACATACCCGGGAAAGAAAAAAGTGATATAAATTTAACAAAGGCTTCCTCTGGATTAGAACTAACAGTCAAATCTTGATTCTCAGTCAAACAAGGCAAGCATACTTGGTCACAATATTGGGCATGCTCAGTGTGAGAAAAAAATGGTGGATGTTCTACAGTTTGAACATTCACAAGATCTGGAAACCTCACTGGGACACCAACAAGTGATTCAGCATTAATAGCCTTAACATGCTGATCAATGAGAGCTGACACTGCAGCCATGTGATCTCCCCCAAAGAATTTGAAGGAAATGTAGAATTCATGAGCAAAGCAAACAAAGGAGTGAAGTCATACTAAGGGAAACAAAAATTCCAGGACTCATGATATTCCAGTATCAAACTGTCATTTTCAAGGACTTAATTTACTGATTTTAACAGAATGTTTAACTTGCCAAGGTTAAATAACTAATGTTTTATTACAGTTTACAAAAAATGTCCTAACAGATCTACAAAATGTATTAGCAATAATAGTAACAACTGAGCTATCAAAAAAAGTTATTCTAGCAAAAAATAAAGACTATGAAACAAGTATTTACAAGAAATTATAAATGACTGAGCATTACTGAACAAACTAACAATATCTGCAGCATTTATAGTCCCCTAAGTAGATTTCAACTTTTCCCAACTTCAGTTCAATAAT